CAACACTAATAAAACTAACATGAACAACAACACTAATAAAACTAACATGAACAACAACACTAATAAAACTAACATGAACAACAACACTAATAAAACTAACATGAACAACAACACTAATAAAACTAACATGAACAACAACACTAATAAAACTAACATGAACAACAACACTAATAAAACTAACATGAACAACAACACTAATAAAACTAACATGAACAACAACACTAATAAAACTAACATGAACAACAACACTAATAAAACTAACATGAACAACAACACTAATAAAACTAACATGAACAATAACACCAATAAAACTAACATGAACAACAACACTAATAAAAATAACATTAACAACAACAATAAAACAAATAACAATAAAAATACGCAACTTAACCCACCTCGGCAAAAACGAAAGGTCAGAATGAAGCGCCCACTTGTTATTCTGGGTTGCAACATCCACCGCTTGCAACAGGAGCAGCAACAGACCCCTCGATGCATTGGTGCTGATAATACACTCGCCGAAATAATCCTGTGGAAGTGAGAGAAAAAGAGAAATGAGCGAATTATAAGAGATGAGGAGAGGATGGTGCAGAGAGAGTGAGGTTGGAGGGGAGGGGAGGGGAGGGGAGGGAGAGAGGGAGGGTGGGAAGGAGGAAGAGGGAGTGAGGGAGGGAGGGAGAGAAGGAGGGCGGGAGGGAGAGGAGGGAGGGGAGGGAGGGAGAGGAAGTGGAGGGAGAGATGGAGGGAGGGGAGGGAGGGAGAGATGGAGGGAGGGGAGGGAGGGAGAGATGGAGGGAGGGGAGGGAGGGAGAGATGGAGGGAGGGGAGGGAGGGAGAGATGGAGGGAGGGGAGGGAGGGAGAGATGGAGGGAGGGGAGGGAGGGAGAGATGGAGGGAGGGGAGGGAGGGAGAGATGGAGGGAGGGGAGGGAGGGAGAGATGGAGGGAGGGGAGGGAGGGAGAGATGGAGGGTTGGGGAGGGAGGGAGAGATGGATGTAGGGGAGGGAGGGAGAGATGGAGGGAGGGAAGGAGGGCGAGAGGGAGGGAGAGAGGGAGGGAAGGAGGGAGAGATGGAGGGAGGGAAGGAGGGCGAGAGGGAGGGAGAGAGGGAGTGAGGGAAGGAGGTAGGGAGAGTAGTTAGAAGAAAGAGGAGGAGAAGGGGGAAGAAATGGTGGGAGGGAAAGAAGGAAGAGAAGGAAGAATGAAAGGGGCTGACGATGATGGTGGTAATGATGATGAGGAGGAGGAGGAAGAAGAAAAGGAGAAGAAAACAGAGAAGGAAGAGGGGGATGATGAGGAGGAGGAAAAGGAGAAGTGAGAATAATAAGACGACGACGATAACGAAGAGAAGAAGGGGGGAAGGAGGTGAGAGGACTGGGACACTAATGTGTGTGTGTGTGTGTGTGTGTGTGTGTGTGTGTGTGTGTGTGTGTGTGTGTGTGTGTGCGTGTGCGTGTGTGTGTTAACAAGAACAGTAATGTACGGAGGAGGAGGAAGTGTACCAGCCATAATAAGTTTCCCCCATATTAATGTTTATTACAAAAGTGTGACTTACCATTCAAGTTATCTATTTTTCTGACTGATCTACTTTATTTATTTGCTGACTTATAAGTAAGTCAGCAGATAGATAAGTAGACAAATCTTACTTATCTATCTGCTGACTTATTTATCTCCTTAACTATTAATTCCCCAAGTCTCGGAATAAAATGAGGTTGGTCTATCTACTTATCTATCTGCTGACTTATAAATCTACTTATCTATTTGCTGACTTATTTATCTATTTATCTATCTCCTTACTTATACATCTACTTATCTATTAATTCCCCAAGTATCGACACCCACCTGCACAGTCGGGTAGTCGCACACGCGCATGCCCATGTCTGCGTGCGCTTTTCGAGTCACGTGTTTTTTGGCCACGTCGAGGCAAGCGAGGGCGATGCCATTCCAAGCTGAGGCAAGGCTGGTGAAGTAAACGATGCCGCATTCATCGTTGCTCTGAAATAAGGGATTTTTTGTTGTTGTTGTTGGATTGGTGAAGATTGATAGGATTTTGATATTTGATTTGGTGTGGATAAAATTGAGGTTTATCTGAAGTTCGGGGATTCGGTTATGTGATTGGTGACGGGAAGACCAGAACGACGAGAATTTCTGGATTTTGTTATCTGATTTGATTGACAAAACGAGAATGATCTGGAGTTAGGGCGTGATCTTTGTTTTTTTTATGCTGAGGAAACGAGCTGAATTGGAGGAGGCTCACCTTCCCTCCGTCACCTGCCGGGCCGACCATCCTGTCGAGGGGGAACTTCCCTTCGACGACCAAGGGCCCCGACTGGTTCCCGTGCATCCCCATGGCGCTCCAGTTGTCTGTCGAAGCTCGCACCTCATCCTGGGCGGTTGAGGTTCAGGTGGGAAAAATGGTGGTTTGGTTGTTTGTTAAATGTAGGCATTTATTAGCCTTTTTTGGTAAGTAAATGACGCGTTAATAAGTCGTTTTTTTGTGTACATAGATGTCTTTTTTTCTTCGTCAATCTAACTAATACTAAAAAAAAGTTCGTCAAACGTTCTAAACAAATCAAATTATTCTCTCCCTTTTCTACACAAACCTGAATAAACATACTTAAAAACACGAGGAAGATAGGGAGATAGGGAGTACTTGCTGTACCAATCTCATACTATCGTCTCCCTCTTCGACACAAACCTGCAGGAACCCACCTTAAACACGAGGAAGATGGAGAGATTGGAGTACGTGGAGTGGCCTGGCTGAGGACTCACTGTCTGCACGGAGTACCAATCAGCCAGACCTGCACTCGTTGCCCAGGAAGCCACCTTCAGCATCTGCACAGTGTTTTCGTCTATCTGCCGCACCTTCGAAGACAGAGGATACCAGAAGTGGGTTCCTGTGGAGGAGGAGGAGGAGGAAGTGGTGAAGAAGGAGGAGGAGGAGGAAGTGGTGAAGAAGGAGGAGGGGGAGGATGTGGTGGTGGAGGAGGAGGGGGAGGATGTGGTGGTGGAGGAGGAGGGGGAGGATGTGGTGGTGGAGGAGGAGGGGGAGGATGTGGTGGTGGAGGAGGAGGGGGAGGATGTGGTGGTGGAGGAGGAGGGGGAGGATGTGGTGGTGGAGGAGGAGGGGGAGGATGTGGTGGTGGAGGAGGAGGGGGAGGATGTGGTGGTGGAGGAGGAGGGGAGGATGTGGTGGTGGAGGAGGAGGGGGAGGATGTGGTGTGGAGGAGGAGGGGTAGGATGTGGTGGTGGAAAAGGAGGAGGAGGAGGAGGAGGAGGATGTGGTGGTGGAGGAGGAGGGGGAGGATGTGGTGGTGGAGGAGGAGGGGGAGGATGTGGTGGTGGAGGAGGAGGGGGAGGATGTGGTGGTGGAGGAGGAGGGGGAGGATGTGGTGGTGGAGGAGGAGGGGGAGGATGTGGTGGTGGAGGAGGAGGGGGAGGATGTGGTGGTGGAGGAGGAGGGGGAGGATGTGGTGGTGGAGGAGGAGGGGTAGGATGTGGTGGTGGAAAAGGAGGAGGAGGAGGAGGAGGAGGAGGAGGAGGAGGAGGAGGAGGAGGAGGAGGATGTGGTGGTGGAGAAGGAGGAGAAGGAGGAGGAGGATGTGGTGGGGGAGGAGGAGGAGGATGTGGTGGTGGAGAAGGAGGAGAAGGAGGAGGAGGAGGAGGAAGAAGTGGTGGAGAAGAAGGAGGAGGAGGAAATAGTGGTGAAGAAGGAGGAGTAGGAAGTGGTGGTGGAGAAGGAGGAGAAGGAGGAGGAGGAGGAGGAAGTGGTGGTGGAAAAGGAGGAGGAGGAAGTGGTGGTGGAAAAGGAGGAGGAGGATGTAGTGGTGGAGAAGAAGGAGGAGGAGGAAGTGGTGGTGGAGAAGAAGGAGGAGGAGGAAGTGGTGGTGGAGAAGAAGGAGGAGGAAGTAGTGGAGAAGAAGAAGGAGGAGGAGGAGGAGGAGGAGGAGGAGGAGGAGGACGAGGGACGAGGACGAGGGACGAAGACGAGGGACGAAGACGAGGGACGAAGACGAGGGAGGGAGGAGGAAGAAGAAGAAAAGGAAAAAGAGAGTAAGAAAGAAAGAAAAAACAAAAACAAAACAATCAGTATACATCTTCCACAGGTCTTTCATTAGTTACCACTTATCAATCTCTTTTAAGGGAAATGACTTAGAGAGAAAAAAAAAATAAAATCCTTCTTCATTACACGTTCCATTCTGCCCCAATGGTACCTGTGGCGGGGTCGGAGAAAACCACCGTGCCGACGAGCTTTTCCTTGTCGAGGCGTGAGAGCAAATCGCGAATTCGGGGATTGCTGTGATGACGAAACAGCATCGTCGTGACTGCGGCTTGGTGCATGCCTGGAGGAGATCGGAAAATTACTAAAGAAAAAAAAACTCCATTTCTTATTGGTAGTCACAATCTAGCTAATAACAAGATCCTGATTTATAAAACTTTAATATCTATTATTAACACATATTAAAGCCTTAAGTTCTGTATTTACCGGCAGACGAAAAACCCACAGCATACTACCATACAGAGTAAAGTTTCAACAACATCTATTGTGCTGAACCAAATACATTACCACTACTACTGCTACAAAAATATCCCTCCCCCCAAAAAAAAAGACTAACATTCACTCCCAACTCCTTCAAATCACCAATCACAATACTATATTTTCCCCTTTTTTTCATCTCCATCTGAAACGAACAACAACAACAACAACAACAAAAAACACCACTCACAATAAACCATAGCAGTAGAGGGACATCCGTAGCGAGCAATGGTCTCAGCCACCATGCTCACACACACGTGGTTCTCTCCTCGACCACCCAGCTCCTGCGGCACCTGAAGACCTAGGAGTCTCAGCTCAGCCAAGTCGTTCATAGATGCCCTCGGGTACTCATAGGTGCGGTCGAAGTGAGGCTGAGAGAGTCGGGGTACAGATATGTTGCTTTTATTTTATCTTTGATCTATATTATTGCTACTTGTTATTATTAGTAAGGTTATTATTATCGTTA